CGCGGCTTCTGATGCAACCCAACGATGAATTGCTCTTAGGCCTTCTTCATAGCTGAAGGCTGGGACTGTGGGAGAGGCAAAAGTGCTTGCTTCATCTTACTGGTTTGCTCTGGCTGTCAGTGTGCAGCAGCAGCTTAGGAGGATGGCAGCTAACTGAACACCCTTTTGATTTTAAGGAAACTGAGCCTCAGTGCTGTTTGTTAGCGCTTCCCTTTCGGATGGGGAAACCCTTCCCTTGGTGTTGTGTGGAGTAGCGCTTACCCAGTAATGCGTGTGCTGTGACAGCAAATCTAAGATGTGGTGTAGGTATTGCATATCCTTAGAAACTGTTACTGAGAAGTTAAATTTGCTGCATTTAAGTATCTTCTCAGTGCCTGCTGAGACGAATCACTCTGTCCCCAGAGCTTTTGGTGGCAATCTTTGCCCTATGCGGGGAGAGTGTGGGTATAGGCCCATGTCTGATGTGCAGTGAGCAGGTTGCTTCATGACTTTTTTGCCCTCAAGCTACAGCTTCTGGCATTCAGCTGCTTCATTCCTGGGAAAATTCCCTTTTCTGCTTGTAGTGTCTTGTGTGTGTGCATTCTCGTTGTCTCTCCCTTGTCTAAAGGTGTCCTGTAACTTGGACCTTGCTTCCTTTTCCCCCTTCCTAGCGATTGCTGCTGTTTGCAGACCCGAGGTAACAGAGCAAGTGTAGAGCGGCGGTTCCATAGCTACTGAAGTCTGACAGAAAAGGAGTCTGCTGAGATCTCAATGCTGTTGAACAGAGGCAATTTATATCTCCTTGTAGTAGTTTTAATAATAAATTAAAAAAACCCAACAAAAACTACAATCCCCCTCCTCCTGTTTTAGCAAGCTGGGCCAGAAGCATCTCTCAGGGTGAGCAGAATTAATCATCATTGCGGCATTGACTGACAACCTGGAGGATGATAATGTGTGATTTTTTTTTTTTTTTTTTTTTTTGCCTTTTTTTCCTGGTGAGCGTTGGAGGAGTGGAAATTGCAGTTTCTCTGCTAATTGTACTTTAGATGTCATTTGTGACAATTTCATATTGTCTAGACAGACATAGTGGAGCAATTGCTTCCACAGAGCCTAGTGTTAGCCTGTTACATATCTGGGTAGCAAAACTGGGGGCTGTAGGAGAGGAAGAGGGTGCTGTACGCTCCAGAAAGGATTTGGAAGTCAAGCATGAGCTACTGAAATGTTTCAAAAGGAGATAGAAGCAATATGCATTTCTGTTCTCTCTATGCATGCTTCTCTGTTGGAAACGTAGATGTTTAGTGGCAAGCAGTTCCCTGTAACACAGCTCCTTCTATTCACCTATGGATTATGTTTTTCCTTAACAGAATTGCTCCCAACCTCAGCATTTACTGTGGGAGGATACTGGGCTCTCTTACACTTTGAGCCTACTGAAAACAAAGAGCTTGTGTCTCTCCTGGGACTTTGCGTGGCAAAAACTGTGATGTGGCACCTAGGACTTGATAGTGCGCAGCATGACCTACTTTAAAAACATTTATCTGTGCCTTCCTGGGGGATAGTAGGTTACACTACCAGTCACAGATGGGACACTTTATTCATGATTATAGCAGTGTATCTATTATTGAACCCATTTGTCAGTACCAAATGCATTTGGATCTGTAACTTGGGCCTCAAGGGCTCAGTCTAGAATGAGTTAGTTAAGTAATATATTTTGTGTTTAGTATGCTGATTTCAGTACACATATTGTTATTCTCTGGAGCATTAAGCACAGAGATAGTACATCTGTATCTCATGAGATTGCATGTTGCTTTGTTTTGTTTTGGTTTTTTTGCCTACTATATGTATTTACATCCACCTGTTCATTGCTCTCTGATCTGAGAAGGCATAGTTGTAGGGCAATCAAGAACTACCAGCCAGGCTTAAAATCAGCTATAGCTTTTAGCAGTTGCTGTTAACTGAATTATCTTTGTCCACCTGATCTGAATGTGGCCCTAGTATGTGACTTGAGTGCCTCAATGTGAGATAGTGCAGGAACTGAGTTTGGGCTTGGAAGGCTCTGCTGGAAAGGACATCTTAGCTGAGACCGTTCAACTCGGACACCACAGCCTCAGAGAGGGTCTTGGGGAGTGTGTTTAATAAAGTGTGTTCATCGTCCCGCTCCCCACAATCCTGTAACTACTGGTCTTCCTAGGGAGTCCTTCTGGTGAAGGAGGTGCTCCTAAAGCAGCAGCAGCTCCTGTTGCTTCGTGGGGTGGTGTTGCAGGCTGTTCAGGTAAAATCACAGGGCTGTGAGGCCTGTAGGAAGTCTGTTTACCTGGATACCTGCCCATCCTGTGGCTCAGGCAACTGTTGGTTTGTGTTTTACTAAAGTAACACATATCAAGCTCTCATCTGAGGTGCCAGGTACTTGGTAGAGCAAGGCTCTTCAGGTATTTATTTCAAGGATCAGATGAGATGTAGAGGTGAGAGCTGTAGGTTCCCCAAAGTGCTGTTCCCAAGCCAAGCAGAAGGGCTCCTGGCAGACCTATACTAAGTTACCACAATGTGTGCCCTGCTCCTGCTTCCACATGTTTCTGCTGTCCTCTGGTTGGTACATTTTGATTTCCTTCAGCACAGCTGCTGGCTGCTCTCTGAAGGTGATCCCTCTAAGTCAGTCCTCTTCGCGGGCAATTGCCATCCTTTCCAAAGGTGAGAAGAGAAACATGGCTAGAGGATACCTGGAGACTCCTTTCTAACAGAGCCTGCTGGGCGGTGCAGCATGTACTGATCATCTTCCCCTGTGGCTCTGATTTTGCCGTGTCATTTAGTGGGCAGACCCTGAAGGGCTGGGAAAGAGGGTGGCATGTGCAGTGTATAGGCGCCAAGACTTTTGACAGAGGTGATGAGTTTGATTATTTGTGTGTGCACATTATCAGGACACTGTAAACTTTGCAGGGAACTGGCATCAAACAAGCCACTTGCATTGTGTGTAGGTTGCTCACATCTGTAAGGAGGCAACTGCTGTTTCCAGGGTTGTGGCCCTCCCAGGCTCGGCATGCTGTGGGAGCTCTTTCTCCCTGATTAAGTCCACTCATTAGGCAGGACGGTCCAGTAGGGTGGCAGCCTCTGCACACCCAGGCTGCTTGCAAACAGCTGGTTTTGGGGTGCTCTGGATAAGCAATTCTGAAGTGCAGACTTCTGAAAAGTATGTTGGCCTTGCAGTGGCAGTAACCCAGTCTCTGAGCTCTCAGCCAGCAGTTTAGAAAGTGGCCAGCTGACTGAATAGGTAGAATATCACTTCTGCAAATTTTAATCTGTCTCCTTCCCCCGCAGAAGGAATAAAAGCAGTTTATATATGATGCAGGTGATAAGTATACCTCATAGATATAAGACTTCAGGTATACCTCATAAAGCTGTTGTACTGTTTGTTCTGCATTAGCTGCTTTTACCTATCTTGACTTATATATTTAGAGCAGGAGAAAGGGCTTGGTAAGGCAGGATTGAAGTATGATAACTTTCTAGGGAGCCAGGGATTCCTAATATCTAGCATATTGAAGGTTAGAGCTTTTGACTCAATAACCTGGGGAATTAATTAATCTCAAAGTTTAAGAGATTTAATAACTGTTCTTGAATAAGACAAATGGTTGCCAAGCAACTTCATGGCAGAGAGGACATGATTTCTTGCCTTCTGTAGAGTCCCAGTGCTTTGCAGCAAGTACTGAGTCTCCTGAGCTGACACATGCCTTTCCAAGTAACTGGAGTGATCTCTTGCTGTTTTCTGTATTCTAGATTTATAATGTAAAGCTGAAGTAATTTTTTTTTTAACTGCTGGAAAGCAGTGAAAAGTTGTCTTGAGATCCTGATGGGGGGGGCTGCTGCTGGAAAGAAAAGTCTCATTTGCATTTCTACTGTTTTTGGCTAGAAATGGGAAGTTGGGCATAGATTATATCTGGTCCTTCTTCCTGCTTCCTGTGTTGACGCTTGCTGTCCTGCATTGCAAATGCTGACTGCATATTCAGAGTGTGGGGCTAAGACTGATAGGACCAAATCTTTCTCGCCAATTGTGTGTGTGGGTGAATAGAACAGATGTAGTGTTGGACCTCTTTAACTTTCAAATCGTAAAGGTTTTAATTTAAGTTACAAAGACTGGAAAACAAAATTTAGTAGGAGTTCCAAAGCAAAAAGACTTGAAAGGGAACTCAGCAGCCTTATAAACTTTTGGTTTTTCCACTCCCCACACACGCCCCAAATCATCTCTCTTGTTAATCTAATGGCTGCAACAGGCTTGAATGAGTCACTCTTGAAACAATGCCATCCTCTGCTTCATGACAAGAAGCTAGATAGAGGTGCATGTAGAACCAGGGTGGAGGACATGTTCCTGCTATATACTTTTGATTCTGCTGCCTTCATGACTCAGACTCACTTCGCGCATATTCAAGCTGTCTGGCTGCATTTGCATACATTTACTTCTTGAGTGAATATTTGGTATCTCTCCCTGTGGCTGATTAAGATATAGAGGAAATTAACTTTTTTTTTGTAGCTGAAAACCTCTCTTTCTGAGCCTTGAGACTAAGACTGAATATCTCACTGTGAATAAACACCAGAGATGCCCTTAGAGTCCACATGCAGAGCTGTGTTTATTGTCCCATGCTCCTTGGCCCGTTCCCTGTGTAGCCACCTTTGAGTAGGTGAGAATTTGACAGGTGGCCAATGCAGTGTTAGTGTTTATGGACCTGACAAATTGGGTTGTCTTGTCTGCAAAGGAGAAGTAGGAGATTTGCATCTTTCTTTTGAAACTTGGGAGCAGGTTTGGGACCACTCTTCTTTCTTACTCGAGGTGTTCTTTCCCCTGTACAGTGAGAATATTACACTTTTGAATAGCTATGTGGTGAAAATACTTACACCGTCAGTGAGTGGTTCAGTATGTTGCAGAATTCTCTGCACTGATGACAGGAATAGTCTTAAGAGGTTTCAGAAACTAGGGCATAAATAGGAGGCATGTTCCTGAATGGTCTTTGACCTTGTCATTTGTTTTTCTTTTATAGGAGGTTGCTGGAGTCTTCCCTCATTTCATTATCTCGCTATGATGGAGCAGGGTCCCGGGAACATCCGATCTACCCAGATCCAGCCAGGTAAGAGCTAAATGCAATCTAAAGGCATTTAAGTTTCATAGGTAAAAGCATAACTTCGGTATAATTCACTGAATCCTTGAATATTGGACCCATCTCTTCAGTGACTTGCCTTGGGGGCAGGGTGCAAACCAAATGAGAAGATGCTGTTAAGTCTGGGACAGAATGAGGAAAAAAGGAAGAAATTGCTGTTGAAGGAAGCACATAAGGATTCCTGAAATCATTTGGGATAAAGAACACTAGGTGGCAAGCAGGTCCAACAGTAAATATGATGATATCAATAAATTTGAAATCTCTTTTGAAGTAAAACAATGGAAAAACAAAGAATCTGTTCAGGAGTAAGGAGAAATGCAGTAAAGGCAGTTAGGAGCTGGTGTGAGAAGACAATGTGCTTGGAAGAATGGCGTGTCTCCATAAATGTGTCCGTATGAGAGAACATAACCAGGGTACTAAGTATACATAAGAACAAAATACGGACAATTATTTTGGAAGAGTCATGAATCACTGACATTAGACATAGAAACATCTGTAGTGCTGCTTAATCTCCAGAAGAGGTGGGAGTGTTTCAGAGGGCTAGAAAAAGCAAACATGGCAGAGTTATCAAAAATGGAAAGGAGTGATCTTTGCAGTTTCTACTAAGTGTATTAAGAAAGCAACAGATGGAAAAATGTGACCCACAGACGCTGTCAAAAGAACTGATGGAATCGTGAACAGCAAGCAGCTTTGGAAGCTTTCAAAGAATAAATTGTGACAAATAAGCTTTCTTTAGATGGGTTTAACACAGCTATGAATGAGGAAAATTCAGTAAGTGTAAAACATACTGATTTAGCCTCTTAGGGAACCTCTGGCATAGCTGCATGAACAGAAGGCTACTAGGATTTATCACAAAGGAGAGTACAGGAATACCAGTGTATGAAAATTAAATATCTAAGTTTCTGAAGGAGGTTTGTTTTTTAATATCTTTTTTTTTTACACCATTAACAACAAAATCTGCATTTTTATACAGATGATGCTCAAAGCACAAGTTCTGAAATAAAAGGCTATGTTGCAAACTGGCCACATGGTATAATTATACTGGTAAATAGCTTCTTGCTAACTGTCTCTGTAGATAAAACCTTGTAAAGGTGAAGTCTTGTGTTAGGCTCTTTTTTCCATTTATTGTAAAGAAAGTTGCTTTGTAAAGATAATTCAAAGTCTGAGGAATGACGTAAATAAAACTGTAGTGAGGTGAAAGTAAGGTGGAGTGTGCTACCTATATGTAAGGCCATTGGGAACCCAACCTAGGTAACTGCAGAAGGTCCTGCCAGCTGCATGTCAGAATGATGCTGATAAATGTAAAAACTTTCTAAATGACAATTGATTAAATGACAGGTAAAAGAATTGATTTACCTGGAAAGATGAAAATTATATATTACAAATGTTAATTAAAAGGTATTACTACTTCCAGGTCAATTTATGAATGCCAAGAGCTGCTAAATGGCTGGAAGTACACCATTCCTTATTTCTGGAATACTTAATCCAAAGCAGGCAGACTTACTAATCAAGAGATTGTAAGAACTGATCCTGGCTCTCTGGGAGCTGCCCTTTGAAAAAGAAAAGATGGAGATAACCTGCCTAGGTTACTGAATTATTTTTTTTTTCTCCCATGTCAGATCTCTGCTATGATGCAGCTCAATAAAATGTATGAAAAGGGATCACTGCCTGAGATGTTTCCTAGCATAAGAAGCATTGTCAAAAATATTTTTCTACTTGAAGCCGTTTTTGAACTGATACGATGCTCTTCGTGTGACAGTTCAAGTGTTTTTAAGTTGTGGTTATGGTAGAAGCTATAGTAGCTTGAGTTTATAAGGAGCTTTGGAAGAAAAGTCCAGTGTTGAAACTTCTTCTAAGAGGTTTAATTTGTACCAGTAAGTGTCACTGTCCTTTTCAGAGGATGAGATTCATAGGTGCATAAATAGATGAGATTTCATAGATGCATGAGCAGGAACTTTTGAGTGGGGCAAGATCAAAGTCTTCCTCCATAAACCTTACTGGTGTGCTAGGCTAGTAGGATCTTTTTAACTGTCCCTTTAACTTGTTAGAAATTGTGGATGTATTAAAAGGAGTGCTTCTGCATTTTGAATTGTTTTTTTGTAGCATCAAAAGTTTGTAATGGGAAGTTGCGACTTTCAGATGTTCTTAAATAACAAAGTGGAAAAGTGAGACAAAGGTGAAATAAGCATACATCTATATATGTCTCTCTGTGTGTGTTTTAAATATATGTTAAAAATATATCTACCTCCTTAAGACCAAGCTGTCTCCAGTGGAGTCTTTTTTTAAACTCCATGATCTGAAGAATTTATTTTTAGAACGTGTATGTGTATGTTACTTTTGTTTCTGCATCTACTATCTGTAGTGGTGCTATATTTGAATAACCTAGGTCAAGAGTGAGGCAGGGAGAACATTTTTGAAGTTCCCTCAGATTTAGAATGAATGTTCTGATAGACTGCTGGAGTCCATTTCTCAGTGGCCTTGCTGAACTTCTCTAAGCTCAGTTTGGCTGTTCTGTCATTCTCCACGGTTTGCATAGGTACTGAGCTCAGAAAAAAATCTGCAGAGGAATCAAAGCTGTCATTGACAAACACCTATATTTATTTATTTTAAAGTAGAAATATTAAAAAAGATGTTCCCAGGCTGCATATGTAAAGCATCACAAGGATGTTTGGTAGATAAGTCTCTAGGAAAGAAAATAAATCTAAGCTGTTAGAAAGTTACTGGGAAAGAGACCCTCAGGCCCAATGTTGCTTCTGAGTTGAAGGCTTAAGTGGAATGGAAGCAACCAAACATGGTGTCTGCTACCAGCATTGCTTTCAGCTCAAGGATTAGTGGTATATATGCTGCCATCTGTATCACCAAGGAAATTAATGACACCGATCAGGTAACCCCTTTAAAACAGTCTGCTGGCTGAGAGGCATTTAGAGGTATGAGCTGTAATAATGTCAATGCACATCCTGGCCATCAGCATCAATGCATGGTTGATGAGTGATGTCAGTACTTCTGAAATGTTAGGAAGCTTGGGGGGTCTGCAGAGCAGTATGGTGCTCTTGGATGCAGACACACCAATTCTTGTGGCTGTCTGGGAGAACTGGGTTTAGACATTCTCCAGTTGATGTTCTTGTGATTTTTTTTTTTTAATTTTTTTTTAATTTACTTCCTTAGGAGATACTGAAGTGAGGGAGTGTGAAAGAAGCAGCCTTTGTGTAAAAATTTTTATGTTGTCCATAAATATGGTCAGGTGGATTGGATATCTGGCTGTAGCTGAGGACACTGTGCTATGTAGTACCTCGCTTTTTTTACTTATGATGCCAGTTAGAGCAAGATACTTGAGCTTTACTAATGCTAGCAGAGCATATCTTTCCCTCAGTTCCACTTCTGACTGGCTAGCCAGCAGCACTGGGTGCCTAGAGAATGCACTGGTTGTTGGATGAGACAGAAGCTATTTGGTTCTGGTGTTTGCACTGCAGCATTTCAGTGCCTTGTTCTGTGGTGGTGATGTGTGGCAGCATAGCCTCTCCTCCTCTGAACCATCTGCTCCAGTAAATGCAGTCCCGTCACCTCAGAGACTAGGTTAATTTAGTTCCTTGGTGTTGTCAAATACAGCCTACTGTCCTGTGGACGCAAACTTGGTTTAAGAATTACTGGATAACCTCTATCTGTGTTTTGCCACTGCTTTGTTAGAAGCACAGGTGACAAATAAACGGACTAGGCAGCCTGCTGTGACTGGCATGTGTTTAGCCAGCTGGAAGACTAACTTTGGTCAAGGGCTGATTTACAGTTGTGTTCAATAGCCGAATGAACTGAAGAGATATGTTTAATGTTAGCTGGTGTTTCTTATGCTGCTTTGCAGCCTTATTGTCCCTCCAGGACAGCTAAATCTCTTATGCTGGCTCTCAGCTCTGGTTCTGATTTGTGTCATAACTGTATTCCAAAGACATATACAGCTCGATAAATACAATTTAATTTTTTTTTGCTCTTCATGCACTCATCTGCAAAGTTTAATTCCTTAGCCTATTGCTTTGAATATGTTTCTGCCCTGCCCTTTTGTATTTTATCCCTCACACCTTTCTGTGTATCAGATGTAAACTTCTTGTCTTCTCTTGGGAAATCTTTTTCACAGTCTATCCAGTCTACATACCATGTGCTGTGAGGAAGCTGAATCTGGCATCTTGTCAACCATTATTGCCTACTCTTTCTTGTTCTTCTAACAAGTGTCATTGTGTTTTTTCTTGTGATGTGCTGCATAATTTGAGAAGATGAAATGTCTGCAAAACTCATTCTTCATACCCTTCTGTAAAACTGTCCCTTGGTGTGATATTAGCAAAGAAAAAAGTTTCAGTGATTACAGTGCTGGACTTCTGAGACCACTGTTCACATTTTCCAGTGTTGCCTTGTTGCCATGTTCCTTCCTTTCTCTATGTGCATGTATTATGCTGTAGACTTATTTTTAGTCATACACAGAGGCTTTGGCTTTTGGAAAAGGCCAAAGAGGAGAACAGCTCCTTATTTATGAGCACACTGCTGTAATGCCTTGCTTTTTTATACTTGGCCTATTAAGTCTTCAGAGGAGTAGAGAGAAGTGCTGTGTTTGTACAGTGAAGCCTTCCACATAATATAAGCATGAATGGCTTTAACTCATCAAACAGTACATGAAAGATCCGGGAGGAATCCAAAACAAGTTGACCGTGTGGTTCCCCCTACCCTTTTGCTGCTTATTGACTAAGGTTTTAGACCCCTGAGCCTTTAGTTTGTCTGCTAAACTTGCCTCTTCACCAAGACGGCAGTCTAGTAGGGTACAGGGTGCTTACCTTGGAGAACACACTCTCTTTTTGTGTCTATGTGACTTCTTTCTTTCTTGCCACCCTCTCTTTTGCTTATATGCCCTGAATGTGTGGCAGAATGGGAGAGTGAATGTCTTTGGGCATCTGCAGTCAAAACAACATTAATACAATCTATCCCTTGAAGAA